CAAGAGCGCGCGGGGTGAATTTTTGAAACCCTTTTTTTGAAAAACCATTGGGTTTTTCATGTTTTTATGTGAAAATCGCTACGAAGACTAAGGTTTTGGAAGGATTTCGTCTTGCGCGCGCGAATGTGCACTTCGTGTCATTTTTTGCAAGGGATTCTTGAAGTTTGGTCATGTTAGAACAAGAAATGTCCACTTTGCCTTATTTTTTGCAAGGGAAAACCGATCGTAACAACACAACCGGATCTGGACCAACCCGTTTTGCCTGAGACTTCCTCACGAAAATGATGAAAATGTGGCTGCGGCCTAGGCGCGGCGGGGGGGGCGTGCACCAGGGGCCCAACAATAATTATTCTTTAGAAATAATAATGTTCAACAACAACAACAACAACAACAACAACAACAACAACAACAACAACAACAACAACAACAACGGCTCCCGCCTGATACTTCCTCACAATGTATTGAAGAATCGCGCTCTCGCTGGGGCCTTCTTTACAATTTACCACCGGATCGCGGCTCCCGCTTGATACTTCCTCACAATCTATTGAAGAATCGCGCTCTCGCTCGGGACTCCTCGCAACTTACCACCGAATCGCGGCTCCCGCCTGATGCTGCCTCACAATTTATTCAGATGCCGCTCCTCGACACTCAGGAATCGCGCTCCCGCTACATATTGCCTGGCGGTTCAAGCAGAATTTTCGCTTCAACGACCCGCCCTCTCGACCCGCCCGTCTGGGTCTGCCCGCACGACCAGCCCGTTAGGGACTGCAGTCGCCGCTCGCTGCCCTTCGCCCGCCTTCGATGTCCCTCGCTGCCCGTGCTGGTTCCGCGGTCGCCTTCGCTCGCTGCCCTTCGTGGCCCCGTTGCTGCCCTCAGCAGCCCCGTCGCTGCCCGTTGTGGCCCCGCATTATATGCCCTTCGTGGCCCCCGCTCGCAGTCGCCCGTCGTGGCCCCATACGCATGCCCTTCGTTGCCTGGCTTTCGCCCTTCGTGGCCCTCTCGCTGCCCTTCGTGGCCCCTTGCTGCCCTCAGTGGCCCCGCTGTCGCCCTTTGTGGCCCCATATACGCATGCCCTTCATGGCCCCCGCTCGTTCGCGCCCGTCGTGGTCCCATATGCATGCCCTTCGTGGCCCCGCTGTCGCCCTTCGTGGCCCCTGCTCTGCCCTTCGTGGCCCTGGTGCTGCCCTCAGCGGCCCCGTCGCTGCCCTCTGTGGCCCCTGATGGATTGCCCTTCGTGGCCCCCGCTCGCTCGCGCCTGTCGCGGTCCCCTACGCATGCGTTTCGTCGCCCCGCCGTCGCCATTCGCGTCTCCCTCGCTGCACTTCGTGGCCCACTTTCTGCGCTCAGTGGCCCCGCTGTCGCCCCTTCTGGCCCCTGTATATGTTTGCCCTGCTGCGTGGCCCCCTCTCGTTCGCGCCCGTCGTGGCCGATTATGCATGCCCTTCGTGGCCCCGCTGTCGCTCTTCGCGGCCGCCTCTCTGCCCTTAGTGGCCCCGTTTCTGCCCTCAGCGGCTCCGTCGCTGCCTTCTGCGGCCCCCTATACGTAAGGCCGTTGGGGTCCCCGTTCGTTGGGCCCGTCGTGGCCCGCGCCAACAACGGCTCCCGCCCAATATTTCCTTACAATTTATTGAAGAATCGCGCTCTCGCTTTGGACTTCCTTGTAATGTATTATTGAATCGTGGCTGCAGCTTGATACTTCCTCACAGTTGATTGGAGAATCGCACTCTCGCTTGTGATTTCCTCGCAACCATACGCATGCCCTTCGTAGGTAGCCCCGCTGTCGCCCTTCGTGGCCCTCTCGCTGCCCTTCGTGGCCCCTTGCTGCCCTCAGTGGCCCCGCTGTCGCCCTTTGTGGCCCCATATACGTATGCCCTGCGTGGCCCCCGCTCGCTCGCGCCCGTCGTGGCCCCATATGCATGCCCTTCGTGGCCCCGCTGTCGCTGTGTGTGGCCCCCGTGCTGCCCTTCGTGGCCCTGGTGCTGCCCTCAGCAGCCCCGTCGCTGCCCTCTGTGGCCCTGGATTAAACATGCCCTTCGTGGCCCCCGCTCGCTCGCGCCTTTCGCGGCCCCATATGCATGCCCTTCGTCGCCCCGATGTCGCCTTTCGTGGCCCCCTCGCTTCCCTTCGTGGCCCACTTTCTGCGCTCAGCGGCCCCGCTGTCGCCCTTCCTGGCCCCATATACGCATGCCCTTCGTGGCCCCCGCTCGTTCGCGCCCGTCGTGGTCCCATATGCATGCCCTTCGTGGCCCCGCTGTCGCCCTTCGTGGCCCCCTCTCTGCCCTTCGTGGCTCCGTTTCTACCCTCACTGGCCCCGTCGCTGCCCTCTGCGGCCCCCTTATACGCATGCCCTTCGCGGCCCCCGCTCGTTCGGAGCAGGCGGGTTTTCGGAGCCTCTGGATCTGCTCGGTGGTCATTGGGGTCATCCCGAAGCCCCCCAGAGGTCATAGGAGGATTTCTGGTGCCTTCCAATCCCCCCGCGCCTTGTCTTCGCACCAGTCTCCGCTCGTATCCACCTGCCCCCACGTATCCACGTTGTTTCCCAATCTTCTCTACTCTTTTCCTTTATCATTAGTTTGATCTCGTTCGTACTCCATTGCGCTATATCTCAATTCTTCGCATTCCGCCCACTCCCCCCCAGGCCACCCTATCCCGCCCCAACAATCTCCACCCCTCCCCGCTCGTTTCCTGCATTTTTCTCAAATTATTCCCAGTCCCTCCTCCAGGTTCCTCCGTGCGCCCCCGCTCCTCCGCACTCCTCCCGGTTCCTCTTCGCCACTCCTTGCCGCTCCTCCTCCTGAGACCCTACGCTTGTCCACTCCATCCCAATCCACTCCACATCCCCGCGTTTCTTTCGACACGGTTGCAATCCTCATTATCCTTCCGGCCCGCTCTCCTAACATCCCGCTTCTTTTCAGGGTTCCACGACATTTGTTTCTGACACCAGTTCGCAGCTGCACGTCCCCGCGTGGGGGTATCAACGATATGTTCTTTCAAGGGGGTGGTACGTGGCGCTGTTTATTGCGCGACCCAGGGCGAAACTTATTGTTAACCTGTGTTGGAGTGCACGCCATGGCGCAAGCTGAGTCGCCACTCGCAGCGCAAATCATCGTCCTCTTTCCTTCTTGCCCTCCCCCCCTCCCTTCCTCCGATCCCTTCGTCCTCATTCCCACATGTTATCGGTTACCCTTGTTTCAAAAGTCTCACCAACCACGCGTGGCAGGGAATGAGTATACCCCCCATAAAGGGGGTACGATCGAAGACGAAGAGGGCGGGTATCCAGGGTTTGGGATATGCATATTGAATGACACGCGAGCAGATAACAGCGACCAGTCTTGACATTATTGTTGTCGTTGTTGTTGTCCCACGACGCGAGGAAATCCGCCGATCCGGCGTGTGAGTTTCAAGGAGTCTCAGCCACAGCCTCGAGGCTGAGCCTCAGCCTCTGGGGGGGTTGCCGGGGTGGCTCTGCCAGGGAAGGGGGGATGGGGGGGGGGGTGCGAGTTTCCGGCGGATGCGGGGCGCTGCTTTTACAGAAGGCTCTAAGCTCGAGGATGCGCTGGAAGGGTGGCCGCGGCCGCAAAAGTCTCTGAGGACGGTCTACGAAAGTCCCGAGACCCCGAAGGATCGCCCGAACACGCCCAAGATGGCCCCAAGACGGCCCAAGAGCCTTCCACGACGTCTGAAGAGGCCTCCAAGAGGCCTCCCACGATGGCCCCCAGAGCCAAAAATCGTTGATTCCCATTTGTTTCTTCAATGTTTTTGGGGTTGTCGCTTTTTTCGGCTTTCCGACGCTCCAAGACGGCCCAACAGGCCCCCAAGACGGCCCGAAGAGGACCCAAAAGAGGGACGAAAAGCGGACAAAAATCTAGCCTTCCAGCCCACGAGGCCCCCAGGAGGCCCCAAGAGCCTCCAAGAGGGCCTCCGAAAGCCCCCAAGAAGCCCCCACGACGCCCTGACAGGCTCCTAAGATGGCTCAAAAAACGCCCCAAGAGGGCGTCCTTGCGCCGATAGGCTCGCCTCCACCGCTCGCACCACATCGTCCAGGCCACATGTTTCGTAACACGACTCCGTGCACGACGTATCGTGAGTTTCCAAAGTGATCGGCATCCTGTATGGAATTTTCATGTCATTATTATTTCCCGTCCCCACGGTCACTGCAAGCACCCCGCCGTTGATTGAACCACTGTTGCGAGATGGCTCTATTGACCCAACTGCATTCCTACGCCCTTTCGAAGGTAACCCGAGAAGTTTGTGCGTTTGAATGTGCGCTTATAATGTCTGCGTCTGGAGAATAACACCGAGCGACCCGGATCGGCGGCACTGGCCGAAGGCCACTACAATCTGGGCTCCTCCCCCGTCCCTGAGATCTGGCATCGGAAAAGCATCTGGCGACTGAGCGCTCCCTGGCGGCTCCTCTCCTCCCCCCACATCCCCAAACCTCCGACGTCATGCTTCTTTTTCTCGCACCGTCGGCCCCCAGAGGTCTCGACGTTTCATGGGCATGGCGATGGTCCCCAAGATCTCGCGCCGTGACCTATAACTTGCTAGAAGAAGAGGTGGGCCTCATTCCTCCCCACGGATCGAAGTGGACCCTGGCAGGTCATTGGCCTGCTAATGGGGGTCTGATTTCTGGGGGTCAGGGTCAGAGAGAGGCAAACTCTTAAAAACCTATTTTCAAAGGAGAAGGCTGGCCCAGGCGAAGAATCCCCAAAGAAATTGCCACAGAAATCGAAGGACGACATATTTCGTGAAACGAATGCGGCCCCGAACAAGGAACATGACTCGAACTTGAGCCTCCCTGACCCTCCACAGGTCTGACCCCCACTGGCCGGCGACGGGGGAGCCATAGTCTTCGACGCTCTCGAGGCCCCGGGACCCGCAAAAACCGCCCGTCGTGTTTTTTTCCACGACGCGAGGGGGCCATGGGCCCCCACCGCCCCCCCCCAAATCGAAGCGGACTCCGGCAAGGGGGGCTATAGCGAGCGGTCGCGGCGCGGCTCCGGCGCCGGCCGCGCCTGCGCCATGGCACTGCACAGCCCCGCGGCCCCCCGCTCTGCAGGCGCCGCACGCAGGCTCGGGCAAGACGCCCCCGGGGCTCGAGCCCAGACGTCCTGCGCCCCCAGAGCAGATCGATCGGCCGATCGATGCGGCTGGAATCTCTGACGCCTCGTGTCGTGAAGAAATGCAGCTTAGGTTCGGCCGTCGGTCCCGTGCGCTAGGCAATTCGGTTCGCGCGTAACCCGCCCGACCTCTGACGCTGCTGGCGCGCTCGCCTGCGGCCGCGACGAATAAGTCGTGAAGAAATTGCGACGGAAAGTTTTAGGCCACGCCCCATGACCGTCAAAAGCTGACCCAGGGTGAAAGCGCGGGTCCCGGGGGATGGGTCGACGCCCCCGGGGGTCATGACGTCGGGGGCATGGGTGAGCGTTCGACCGATCGAGAATGCGATGGTCGGGTGTTGGTTCGCGGGGGGGCAATACACGGGGGTGGAGAAAGGCGCACCTTTCGTGCCCCATCGGGGCCAGAGGGGGGACCGTCGCCTGCAGCCGTCCATCCGCCCCCCCGATTGCCGTCCCCACCAAGACGAAACGCCCGAGAAGGGGGTGGATCGATCGATCTGGGACCCGTCCTCCGCGAGGGTGGATTTTCAGGCTCCTGGGCCGTCGCAGAGACAGCTCAAGAGAAAGCGCTGGCCCTGGGGAGAGGAGGGCCAGGACTTCTGGGGGCCCCGCATGGACACAATCACAACACCAGATCTCATTGGAAATCCCACCAGCCCTTTAGGGCGTGGGTGGTTTATAGCGTTCCCCTTTCCACCCCCCCGTCTTCTCTTCAAGAAAATGGTTGACCCTGTACCCTATGAATAAACACCCTCCCCCAGGCGACCAGCAGCCAACCAGGACGAGTGAGGACCCCCCCCGCACCATCCCTATCAACAAACAAGGTGATTCCACTTTGGGGCAAAACCTTGGACCATGATCGGGGGGCAGCGACCACTTTTTAGTGTGTTTTGACAGGGACGGCGGGGGTGCCCGCATATTGCCTGCTGCGCGCAAGGCCAGCATCCCTGTCAAACAAAAGACAACATGCACCTCGAAGCAAAATCTGGATCATCCGCGGGCACCCCGCGACCACTGCGCAATGGTGTTGAACTGGGACGGCGGAGGTGTTGGCTGGCATATGGCCTGCAGTGGGTAGGCCCCCCTGGCGCTATGATGGCCACCCCGCTGCGATTGCACACAGGTTTTCGACAAGGGTGTGGGGGACGACACGTTTCCCGATGTGTCATGCGCAGGCGCACCTGGCACACTCGTGCGCGTGCTCCGAACGTGGCGCACCCAGCGCGGCTGGAGCATGCGGCGCACATGGCGCACGTGGATCACGCACGTGGCGCATCTGAGCATCTGGCGCACCAAGCGTGCCTGGCACGCTTGGGCCACAGGGGTGCCTGGTGCACCTGGCGCGTGTGGCGCGCCTGTCACGCGTGGCGCACATCGCCCCAGCGTTGCGCACATGATAGGTGCCCATCCAAAGACGACCGCTGAACATGCTGAGGCCCGGGTGCTACTTATGTGTTGGGACGGCGTGTGGGAGTGAGCGAGACAGCTTGCGAGCGGGGAGGGTGTCTTGATCTCTTTTCCTTATTAATGAACACCCCCTCCCTCAGGCGACCGGCAGCCAACCCGGACCAGTGAGACTCCCCCAACCACCCTTTGCAACGAAGAATACGAAATCCACTTTGCCTCCAAATCTGGAGAAGGCGCGGGCGCCCCGCGGCCACTTTGCATTGGTTTTTGAAAGGGGCGGCGTGGGTGCCGGCATATTGCTTGCTGCGCGCAGGCCAACCTTCCCTGTCAAAAAATACCACATACACCTTACCTCGGTATTTGAAAGAGAGGCCTTGCTGCCTGCGCGCTACCACGCCTGGGGCTCCAGGCTGCCTGGTGCACCTTGAAACCGTGGCGCTCGTAGCATGTGTGGCATTTCCAGGCGCCATGCAGAGAATCGGGTTTTAATTATGCGTTGGCGGGCCGGGTGGGAATGAACGATACGGCTTGCAGGCAGAGAGGGTGTCTTCATCACTAATGCATAAGCATAAACATCTCCTCCCCCAGGCGACCAGCAGCCAACCTGGACCAGTGAGGACCCTCTCCCCACTATCCCTGTCCAAAAACACATGTGATTCCAGTTTGGGGCAAAACCTTGGGTCATGATCGGGGGGCCACGGCCACTTTGTAGTGTGTTTTGACAGTGACGGCGGGGGTGCCCGCATATTGCCTGCTGCGCGCAGGGCCAGCACCCCTGTCAACAAACAATACAACATGCACTTCGAGGCAACATGCGCTTTGGCTTTTGAGTGGGACAGCGCGGGTGCTGGCATATGGCCTGCTGTGTGAAGGCCCACCAGACACTATGATGGGCACCCCGCCGCGATTGCGCGCTGATTTTCGACAAGGGTGGTGTGGGCCGACACGTGTCCCGACGTGGACTGCCACGTGCGCAGGCGCACCTGGCACACTCGTGCACGTGCCCCGAACGTGGCGCACCCGGCGCAGCTGGAGCAGGACCCTCCCTGAACTACCCCCCTTTCGTCCGACCCGACTGTCGATGAATCGCAAACATGGGTGAAGGCGCGTGGAGTAGCGTCAAATCCAATTCCCATGGAAGATCAACACGCTGCGTCACCAAATCGGGCGGCATTGGCCTCATGTCTCGGGGAGCACTTTTCTCCCCGATCCGTGAATCTGGCGCCCCCGCGCCAGATCCACGGATGCGTAATCCATGCTAACGTGCGCCCGATTCAACCTGGAGGACCCAAGCGGGTACGGAAAGGATTGTGACGAAGCCCGACAGCAGGCCCTGCCCATTTTTTGCACAGGTATCGCTATCGGTGTCGCCGCGGGCGGGGTTCGACTGAATCGAAAGACCGCCTTCACAGCAGTGGCCGTTGTCGGATCTAGACAACATCTGCTGTGGACGCCGTACCCATGCGTCCCGCCCACCCTGTGTCTGCCTTCTCCTTCTTCCCGCCTCCCGCCTCTCTTCTCTCACCCTCCTCCTGCCTGCTACCTCGCCGTCTCTGCGGGGCTGCCGACTGCGCCACTGTCGCCACGTTCGTGAGCTCCTGAGAGATCCAGCAGAGCGGTGCCCTTCGCGGACCCAAATTATACATCGCCACCCTGTGGAGGCTACCAGCTGCGCAACTGTCGCCACTTTTGTGAGCTCGTGGGCGGTCCAGCGGAGCGGTGCTCAACGCAAACCCAAATGAGATCTCGTTGTCTGGGTTCGGGGCCGCTGGTTGTGCCCCGGTCGCCACTCTCGTGAGCTCCACGCTCATCCCTCTCCCCAGGCCTTCCCTCTCCCCTTCCCTCTCCCAGTCCCCACCCCCTCCCACACACCCACCTCCAACTCCTCCTCCTCCTCCTCCTCCTCCTCCTCCTCCTCCTCCTCCTCCTCCTCCTCCTCCTCCTCCCTCTCCTCCTCCGCCGCCGCCGCCTCCTCCTCCTCCTCCTCCTCCCGCTATTTCCCGCTATGTACTGCGCCATTGGGGTCAGTGCCCCGTAGCGCCGTCCTCCCTCCTCCTCCTCCTCCTCCTCCTCCTCCTTCTCCTCCTCCTCTCCTCCTCCTCCTCTCCTCCTCCTCCTCTCCTCCTCCTCCTCCTCCTCCTCCTCCTCCTCCTCCCTCCTCTCCTCCTCCCTCCTCCTCCTCCTCCTCCTCCTCCTCCTCCTCCCTCCTCCTCCTCCCCTCTCCCCCTCCTCCTCCTCCCCCTCCTCCTCCTCCTCCTCCTCCTCCTCCTCCTCCTCCTCCTCCTCCTCCTCCTCCTCCTCCTCCTCCTCCTCCTGGACCCGCAGGGGCAGGATCAATCAGGATCTTCTTCTTCTTGCTCCTCCTCCTCCTCCTCCTTCTCCTTCCTTTTCCTTCCTTCTCATTCCTTCTCCTCCTCCCTCCTCCTCCCCCCGTTGTCACTGATCCTCCTCCCCCATGCCTGCTTCCTGTCGGGGCTGTTCCACTGTGCTCGTCCTCCCTCCACCCAGACTTCGCCCGACCTCCCGGCGCGATGCCGTGGCGGCGGGCCGAGCACTGCGAATGCAAGTGCGAACGTCATGCGAACTCCAGATCGGGCACCCGACTCTTGGAGGCCCGGAAGTGGGCACCAACACCAACACAGGGGGACTGCATCCACATGGGGAAGATGATCCTAGATTTCGGTGTTGGTGGTAATATTCCGGCCACGTTGGAAGCCAGAATATTACCACCATCACTGAGATCGGGATCGTCTTCCCTCGGTGGAGGCGCACCGCCGATCTTGGCGTTGGTGTCAACCTCTAGGCCCGCGAGGCTCGGCGAACGCGAATGGATTCAGCGCAGCAGGGGATGGATGGGCGGGAGTTGGGATGTCAGGAGCAGGCTGTGGCGCGAGCCCCTCCGGCCGCTGGGGACAAGGCATCGACACCTACTATTACTCCCTGGACCTCTCCCCGGGGGGTGGCGCTCTGACCACCTTCTGGAGCGACTCCCGCGGCGGCGCGAGTCGTCCCGGCCCTGGCCCCGCCCGATGGGCCCCGCCCGCCGAAGGCCCAGGGCCCCGTGGAGGTGCCCAGGGCGACAGGCCTTCCAGGGCGGAGAGTGGGGGCGCGGCGGAGAAGGTGCGGGCACCTGCTCTTGACCGAGGAATGAGAAAAGACGCCCCCTACCCTGAATTACAAGCGCGTGGTCAGTAAACCTCCTGGGAGCTCCCACAGGCCAGAGAGCCGCCAGGACGCCGCGCGGCACGCGCGACACGCAGGGTTTGCCCTGTCAGCCCACAGGAGGTTCAGCGCACAGCGCCTCATAAACCAGGGTAGGGGCGTTTTTTTACGCCCTTGACTTGACCCCCGAGTGCCAATGGCAATGCACGATGACGATGAGAACACGGACTCGCTTCGCCGGAGGCTCGCTTCGCCGGGGCCCGCTTCGCCGGGGCTTGCTGCGCCGGGGCTCGCTTCGCCGGGGCCCGCTTCGCCCATCTCGCTTCGCAGGGGCTCGCTTCTCCGGAGTCTGGCTTCGCCGGGGCTTGCTTCGCCGGAGCTCGCTTCGCCGGAGTCTCGCTTCGCCAGGGCAAGGGGAGGAGCAGCAGGAGGTGGAGCAGGAGGAGGAGGAGGAGGAGGAGGAGGAGGAGGAGGAGGAGGAGGAGGAGGAGGAAAAGGAAAAGGAGGAGGAGGAAGAGGAGGAGGAGGAAGAGGAGGAGGAGGAGGTGGAGGAGAAGGACAAGGGGGAGGAGGAGGAGGAGGAGGAGGAGGAGGAGGAGGAGGAGGAGGAGGAGATAGAGGGAGGGAGGGAAGGTGCCAAGGAGAGAGGAAGGGGGGGGGCGGAGGGCGTGAGGCTGGGCCGGCCGGCCGGCCAGCCCGTCGGTGGGTTTCCAGTGCATGCGAGCCGCGCAGCAGCCGCGTGGTGCGGGGGCGGGCGCCCGTCCCTGGTCCACACTGTGCCGGCGGACGCGTGAGCCCTAACGGGCGGGTCGGGTCGGGCGGGCGGACCCCAGCGGGCGGGTCGGCTCGGGCGGGCGGGACATTGAAGTGTGGCGCGTACGTGAGCGAGCACGCGCGAGCCCTGACGGGCGGGTCGGGTCGGGTCGGGGCGGGCGGACCCTGACGGGCGGGTCGAGTCGGGTCGGGCGGGCGGACCCTGACGGGCGGGTCGGGTCGGGCGGGCGGGACATTGAACTGTGGTGCGTAATCGAGATGGCACGCGAGAGCCATAACGGGCGGGTCGGGTCGGGTCGGGCGGAGAAGACCCTGAATTCACGATCCCAGGAACACTTGTATCGTGATCCAAGTGTTTCAGGCGCACCGCGCCCCGCGGAGAGCCCGAGAGGACAGCCCGAGCGTCTCCTCCCCGAGACTCCTCCCCGAGTCTCGTCCCCGAGTCCTCTCCCCGAGTCTCGTCCCCGAGCATCTTCCCCGAGTCTCGTCCCCGAATCTCCTCCCCGAGTTTCGTCCCCGAGTCTCGTCCCCGAATCTCGTCTCCGAGTCCCCTCCCCGAGTCTCCTCCCCGAGTCCCCGAGTCTCGTCCCCGAGTCTCCTCCCCGAGACTCCTCTCCGAGTCTCGTCCCCGAGACTCCTGTCCGAGTCTCCTCCCCGAGACTCCTCCCCGCGTCTCCTTCCCGAGTCCCCTTCCCGAGACTCCTCCCCGAGACACCTCCCCGAGTCTCCTCCCCAGCTCTCCTCCCCGAGTCCCCTTCCCGAGACTCCTCCCCGAGACTACTCCCCGAGTCTCCTCCGCAGCTCTCCTCCCCGGCTTCCCCACCAGACTCTCCTCAACGTCCCCGAGTCTCGTCCCCGAGTCTCGTCCCTAGCTCTCCTCCCCGGATTCCCCCCCAGACGCTCCTCCCCGAGTCTCGTCCCCGAGACTCCTCTCCTCCCCGAGTCTCGTCCCCGAGTCTCGTCCCCGAGACTCCTCCCCGAGTCTCGTCCCCGAGTCTCGTCCCCGAGTCTCGTCCCCGAGTCCCCGAGACACCTCCCCGAGTCTCGTCCCCGAGTCTCGTCCCCGAATCTCCTCCCCGAGTTTCGTCCCCGAGTCTCGTCCCCGAGTCTCCTCCCCGACTCCCCGAGTCCACGAGTCTCGTCCCTGAGTCTCCTCCCCGAATCTCGTCCCCGAGACTCGTCCCCGAGTCTCCTCCCCGAGTCTCGTCCCCGAGTCTCGTCTCCGAGTCTCGTCCCCGAGTCCCCTTCCCGAGACTCCTCACAGAGACTCCTCCCCGAATCTCTTCCCCGAGTCTTGTCCCCGAGTCTTGTCCCCGAGTCTCCTCCCCGACTCTCCTCTCTGACTTTTCCTCCTGGAGTCTCTTCCCCGAGCCGCGCCGATTAAGTGTGTTGTACGCGCATGCGCGCGGACGCAAATACAATCACATGCGCCTGTTGAACACATAGATTGTCAAATGGATCCATGTGTGAGTCACCATGTTGTTTGTCATGTGGCTGTCTGTTGCTCAATGTGTGCATCCAGATGGCTGTGGCTCATGGCATCTCGGATGTCAGAGGTGCACGTGTGGCTCAGGACATCTCGGATAACACATTTGCGAGGATGTCTCAGGCGAAAGTAGGCGGACCACCATGGGGCATGGCATCTCCGATGTCAGAGGTGCGAGGATGTCTCAGGCAAAAGTGGCCTGACCATCTCAGCTCAGGGAATCTCGCAACCCAGAATTGCGAGGATGTCTCGGGCGAAAGCGGCCAGACCACGGGCATCACCGAGGTCAGAATTGCGAGGATGTTTCAGGCGGAAGTGGCCGGACCACCTGGGCTCAGGGAATGCAGGAATCCAGAGTTGCGAGGATGTCTCAGGCGAAAATGGCCTGACCACCTGAGCTCAAGGCATCTCGGCACCCAGAGTTGCGAGGATGTCTCAGGCGAAAGTGGCCGGACCACCATGGGGCAGGGCATCTCTCAGGTCAGAGTTGCGAAGATGTCTCAGGTGACAATGGCCAGACCATCTCACTTCAGGGCATCCCGGAGCCCAGATTTGCGAGGATGTCTCAGGCGAAAGTGGCCAGACCACCATGGGGGGCAGTGTATCCCCGAGGTCAGAATTGCGAGGATGCCTTCGGAGTCCTCCAAGAACCGTCCACAACAACATATCGCAAAAGCTCGACTTCTCATCCTCCTTGTCATCATCGTCCATTCCTTCCTTCCTTCCTCCTTTCTTGCCTACTCCCTCCTCCTCTTCACCTTCCTCGTGCCGTTCGACACGATCAGGATTCCCCAACAAATGCGGATTGAATCTGGCACCTTTGCGGCAGAACACCCTGAACAGCTTGTAAACAATTACGATAGGGGCCACGACGGGGGGTCGCGATTGGGGGCCACGATGGGACGGCAAGTGGAAGCCACGGGAGGCCACGATGTGGGCACGCGAAACGCCAAGAGTTTGCAATAGTGAACTTGGGCAGGGAAGTGCGAGTGGCACGCCCAGCGGCGACGCCTGGGAATGGGTGGGAAGGAGGGCCGACGACAGACTACGACGACGCCGGCGGCGGCTGCGGCGACGACGACTGGCGGAGGACGACCGACGACGACGACGACGGCAACGACAACGACGTCGAGTGCCGAGGAGGAGTGCCGAGGAGGAGTGTCGAGGGAGAAGTGCCGAGGGAGGAGTGCCGAGGAGTGTCGAGGGAGAAGTGCGGAGAAGTGCCTAGCGAGGAGTGCGGAGTAGTGCCGAAGAGTTCGAGTCGCGAGGAGTGCCGTGAAGTGGGATGAAGGGAGGAGTGCGGAGGAGCGGGGGGCGCCGAGGAGTGCAATCTCTGATCTCTTCTCCCCGACTCTCCTCCCCAACTCTCCTCCACGAGACTCCTCCCCGACTCTCCTCCCCGACTCTCCACCCCGACTCTCCTCCCCGGCTCCCCTCCCCGAGTCTCTCCTCTGGGGGGGCTGTCCAGTGTTCCTTATTAGGAAACACTTGGGTTGTGATCCAAGTGTTCCCGGGTGAGAAACTCACTTTGATCGTGATCCAAGTGTTCTGGGATCCTGAATTCAGGCATTTTCGTCGGGCGGACCCTACCCGGCGGGTCGGGTCGGGTCGGGCGGGCGGACCCCAGCGGGCGGGTCGGGTCGGGCAGGCGGGACATCACAGCGTGGTGCACAGTCGGGATGGCACGCGCGAGCCCTAACTGGCGGGTCGGGTCGGGTCGGGGCGGGCGGACCCCAACGGGCGGGTCGGGTCGGGTCGGGCGGGCGGACCCTGACGGGCGGGTTGGGCTGGGGGGGCGGGACATCAAAGTGTGATGTATAATCGAGATGGCACGCGAGAGCCGCAACGGCCGGGCCGGGTCGGGCGGGCGCGGTCGGCGGCGGCGGCGGGGACGAAGACCCCACGGAGGACCACGGCGCGTGCTGGTGGCGACCGCCACGACCGCCGCGATCGAGCTACCCTCGCCTCCTCCTCCGCCTCCTCCTCCTCCTCGCCCCCCCCCCCTCCTGGAGTCCACGACGACGCCGACGACAACGACGACGACAAAGACAAGGCTCGCAGACGATCCGCACCGAAACACGGATTTGAGAAAGGGCCCACCCTGCAGGTTCGGTTAAACAGCACGTCGTTAAGCAGTGCTGCAGCCTCCCCTGACGACAGGCCCCCCCAGAGCATCAGCCAGACAAGTCGGGTTTGCACCCTCATGCCTTGCTGGACTCTGGGCGCGTTGCGGCACCCTCCCCCCCAACCTCGTCAGGTCCAACGAGAAGGGAGAGGGCGGCGGTGGCCGACGCGCCCCTGAGCTGAGAAGCTCAAAGCGCCGCGGCGCAGAGGGTCGGAAGACAAACAAACAGAAGAACGGACAGCCAGGCGGCGCGCAATGCCTGGCAATCCGTGTTGCTCTGCTCGGGACTTGCTTTCTTTATGCAGTGACCACCACCACCACCCCTCCTGGAGCTTATCCACGACAGCCGTATGCATATACGTACTACGCGCTGCAAGACCGAGCCGGTTTAACCACGGCGCGAATCGCGCTGGCGACCTCGCACAGATAAGCAATCTCCCTCCTCCTCCCTCCTCTCCCCTCTCTCCTCCCTCCTCCCTCCTCCCTCCTCGAAGTCATCGCACCGTCTGTCGCTACACACTAAGCGGATCACCAGCCAAAGTGTAGATTGGATCACCCGGCGAAGATCCCGCCCCTCCCCCTGGCCTTGCCGATCCCCCGGAGGAGGAGGAGGAGGAGGAGGAGGAGGAGGAGGAGGAGGAGGAGGAGGAGGAGGAGGAAGGAAGAGGAGGAGGAGGGATGATGATGATGA